CAAAGCCGGTCCCCTCCTTCACACCACACGGTCACAGGTGGACTCCGGGTTGTGTACAAACCCCCATTCGGATGGCCCACGGGGGCACCACATGCGATTCTAGCCACTGCTCCTCAGGAAGGCTGATCCGAGGACATGGGTGTGTCAGTCATGTTCCAGAATTCAGTGCTCTTGTTTTCCCTTCAACAGACATGCTGGACACCAAGAAACCTAACTCTTGTCATCACAGAATTTTCAGCAAGGTGGGAGCCCAAAAAAGAGTAAGGAGTGGGACGACAGATGCGCAGACAGAGCCCCACTGGTCCAGCACCCTGGACCCCCACAGACTCGTCAGCCTATTTCCACTCCGTCCTGGGCATCACCTGACCCTGCTGGCCATTCCCTGCTGGAAACTCTCACCCCTCTTGCTGCCACACTGCTCTGTCCTGGACGTTAGTTCTTGGTGTCAGCTCCTACTCTTTTGTCTGATGGTAAATTTGGTGTCTCGTAAAGGTCTCCAGGCGTTTCCTTCCCACCCCATACTATCAGTTCTCAACTATTTTTCTACCTCAACATTTCCATTTTGTCAGTTCCCAAGGCAGTGATTCTTGACCTGCTGGGGGAACAGTACCCCAAGGACCAATGGAAGAAGCTCCCTGGGTGACTCTGACACATTCCCCCTCCTCTTAGGTAGATTCTGTGTCTTTTTCTTTCTTTCTTTTTTTTTTTTTAACCGTATACAGTGGCTGGCCAGGTAGGAGCTCTGTGACATACACAGTTATGTTCAGTGGCAGGAAGCACGATGCACTCTGTGAGTACAGGGCAGGTCACTTACCTACGAGAAAGTCGGTAGGCTGCCCAGAAGAGCTGTTCGTTGACTAAACTGAATTCATCAGATGGATAAGCCTTAAGAGATTCTGACAGGCAGATTTCCACAGAAAGGGAGCCCAATAATCAAAATCTGAGAATTTATGAATGATGAGTGCTTCGGTACACAGGCTTCTTTACTGTATCTCAGCATTAGAATGAAAGAGTTCTTTCTGAATTTGGAGCAGAATTAGTAGGAAGTCAATAAAAGTAAGGTGCTCTACATCATGGGGCAGGTAATGGATCTGCAGTCCTTATTGTTCTGGGAGGCTGAGGCGGTGAGACCCCCGTCTTTAAAAATGGCTGGGCATGGAGCCATGGTGCTCCTGTGGCTCAAAGGAGTAGGGCACCAGCCCCGTATACCAGAGGTGGCGGGTTCAAACCCAGCCTAACCGAAAAAAAAAAAAAGCTGGGCATTGTAGGGGGCACCTACTCAGAGGCTAAGGCAAGAGGATCACTTGTGCCCAAGAGTGTGAGGTTGCAATGAGCTATGATGTCACAGCATTCTGCTGAGGGTGACAAAGTGAGACTGTCTCAAAAGTAAATAAATAAAAATAAATTGTACTGGCATGAAAAATATATATGTGTAGGTCGGCACCTGTGGCTCAAAGGAGTAGGGTGCTGGCCCCATATGCTGGAGGTGGTGGGTTCAAACCCAGCCCCCAGCCAAAAACTGAAACCCCCTCCCCCCAAAAATATATATATACACATACATGTATGTAAATGTACATGTATATGTGTGTGTGTTTTTATTTTTATATATATACATTTTCTTTTAAGACGGTCTCGCTCCATCACCCTGGCAGCTAGAGTGCAGTAGTGTCATCATAACTCATTGCAACCTCCAACTCCTGGGCTGAGGTGATCCTCCTGCCCCAGCCCCCTAAGTAGCTGGGACTATAGGCATAGACCACTACACATGGCTAATTTTTCTGCTCTTTGTAGAGACAATCTCACTCTTACTCAGGCTGGTCTCAAACTTTTGCCCTCAAACAATCCGCCCACTATAGGCTCTCAAAGTGCTAGGATTAGAGGTAGGAACCACCATACCCAAAGAGATATTCTTTGTATTTGCTTATTCATTCACTCAGTAAAACTTACTGAAGAACCAACCTTCCAGCATCAAACACTACAATATATATTCATAGTGAATAAAACAAACTTCACCCTTGTCCTTTGGGGCTTATATAGCCTAGTGAAAAATAGGCCTTGAGAAAATAATCACTACATACACAGAGTGTACACACACATACTGTGAAAGAAAGAGTGTTAAGGGAAAGTGTAACCGGGTGACCTAGTTGAGATTAGGCACGAAGTGAACAATGATTAGAGGTTAATTTGGTAAAAAAAAGTCAAGAGAAAGAGTCAAAAGGAAGAGATAGAGGAAGTTCTAGTGCAAAATAGTTTGGACAAATTGATGAAGAGCCACAAAGAAGGTCAGTGAAGTGCGGTGTCAGGGAGGAAGGCCGCACCCTTTCCCAGATCCTGCTCCTGCCCCTTCCTCGAGTTCTGCCACACTAAAAGGGTATCTGTGTTGGCACAGACGTTCCCACATGCAGGCATTAAGAGGCTTACCCAGTTCAGAGATCAGAGCACTATGAAAGGCATTCTATAGTGATAGCCAGGCGTTGTGGCAGGTGTGGTCCATAGCCCCAGCTACTCAGGAGGCTGAGGCAGGAGGATCACTCCAGCCCAGGAGTTGGCGGTTGCTGTGAGCTAGGCTGACGCCAGGGCACTCTACCCAGGGTGACAGTGAGACTCTGTCTCAAAAAGTCAATCAATAAAAGGCATCTATAGCGAGAGCTCCTCAGCGCAGCCTGCCCGTTTGCTCTCGTCCTCTGGGATTGCGTTTGTATTAACCACTTATTGTTACTCCTGTCAGTTCTTTGTGTAAATATAAGCAAATAAGAATATACATTATTATGTTCCTTTTCTTTCTTATACAAAAGGTATCATATTATGGGCATGGGTCTGTAGCTTGCTTTTTTGCTTAACAATAACCTCAGAGATCAGTTATAGAGCTGCACTGTCCAAAAGGGTTACTAATAACCGCACGTGGCTATGAAACACTTGCAATGAGGCTGGTGCAACTAAAAAGTAGAATTTTAAATTTAATTTAATTGAAATTTAGATTTAAAAATGGAAACAGTATAAAACATTTTCCTACTAAACTCAACTTTATTGTTTTGGCAGGACTACATTTCACTTTAACCATTTGAATAGAATATCCACATTGAGATGTGGTATAAGTATAAAACACCAGATGCGGCTCGGCGCCTATAGCTCAACCGGCTAAGGCGCCAGCCACGTACACCTAAGGTGGCGGGTTCGAATCCCCAGCCCGGACCTGCCAAACAACAATGATGGCTGCAACCAAAAAATAGCCGGGCGTTGTGGCGGGCGCCTGTGGTCCCAGCTACTTGGGAGGCAGAGGCAGGAGACTCGCTTGAGCCCAGGAGTTGGAGGTTGCTATGAGCTGTAATGCCACGGCACTCTGCCCAGGGGGACAGCTTGAGGCTCTGTCTCAAAAAAAAAAAAAAAAAAAAAAAAAACACCAGATGCAAAGACCAAGTACCAAAAATATTTAAACTATCTCATTAATAATGTTTTACATTTTTTATATGCTGAAATTTTTTTTGATATATTTGGTTAAATATTAAAATTAATTCTACCAATTTCTTTTTGTTTTTTGAAGGGATACCAGAAAACTTTAAGTTACATTTGTGGCTCAAATTCTATTTCTACTGGACAGTGCAGACACAGAGCATTCATTACTTTTTGCAGCCATTACATAATTCCATTGTATAGATTACCATAATTGTATTTACCCATTTTGACTTGAGTCATATCTAATCTGCTGTTTTAAAAAATGCAGAAATGCTTAACCTTGTAGATTCATCACTTTGTATATGTGCAGGTTGGTCTGTAATGAATTCTCAGCATGGGGATTACTGGGTCAGAGGGTAAATGCCCTTGTAATCTTGATATTGCCAAATTGCCCTCCATAAACTTCATACCCATTTGCACTCCCATCAGCAGTGTATGTGAATGCCAGTTTCCCTGGATACTGCCGCTTGAAACTACAGTTACCTCTATTTTTTACATTATAATAATTAACACGTTGCTTTCTGCTAATTCTAAGTTTTAACAATAAATCACAAAATGGTTTGCCTAACTTCCGTTTTCAGTTAGAAAAAAAAAAAAACCTAAAGAAAATCTGCTAATTGATGATAAAATTAGCATTTTATAATTGATATTTTTACAAAATAAAAACATAAAAGAATTAACCCATACTGGTTTTCCAGAATGTCAATTTCTAGGAAGTTGCAGCTTTCATCATATTCAGATTTAGGATGAGGAATTCTGTGAGGGTTAGAATGGATAGGAACTCCGTTTTCTTTTGTTACTCTGGCAACCTCCCCAGAGAGGAGAGCAGAAAGGCAGTTTACTGGTAACTGATTCCCTGGATTGGTTTTACTATGTGCTAAAGTGGTTCTAACTCCTAAGTAGGGCTGCTTAACTGAGGACACTGACAACACAGCTGGAGCTGAAGACATTCGCCCTATTAATGAGCTACGGGAAAAGTTCCTCTTTGCACTTTAAGGATCCAACTTTTGAGACTTGTGTGCCCTCTACTGCCCTCTTTGCCTTTTTTGGTTTGTTTTCTCAGATGGAAATAAAGAACTAAACATTCCAGACAACAAATTGCTTCAGATTTTTCAAAGAATCTGAAATTAAGATTCTTGTGGAAAGAAAGCTCACTATGTAGTTAGAGATGTGCCCCAAAAATTAATAAAATTAGGATAATGAAACTTTGGGGGGAATATATGGTCATATTCTGGCAAGTTCTAGAGGCATAGAAATGTCTTTTATAGCAAATATGACTATGGACATTTACTATTTTTAATACTTTTTTGATTCTCAGTATAAAAAGATTGAGAGAACAAAGTTGACTGTTAATGCTGGTCCTGTAGGAAGAGCACCAGGACAGGGGAACTTAGTGCAAGGGCCATCCTTGGGGACTGGTGCTACTGAGCGATTTCTACTGTGCTTAAGCTACAGAATAAATACAGATGCAGCTTTCGCACAGGAAACAGCTGTCCTTCATGTCTCTTTTTGCTTCTGTTGCTAATTTTGCCATTATTTTGTTCCAGGAAGGATTCTCACTCATTGGTTGCAAGAACTGGTTGAAGATCGTAAGACGTGTGGACTGTCTGTTGTTCGGAACAACAATAAAGGCAAGATAAAGTGGGCTGTGTAGCCAACCATATTTGAGCTAATGATCATGCTGTGTGGTCTGGGGGAGGGGGGGAGGGGGCACTTCCCTTTGGAGGAGAAATGGTACTGGGAAGGATACACATCTTTTACAAAAGGTTTGCACTATGAGCAAAACACGAAACAAGGACTTTAGAGAGGCAGAAGCCTCGTTAGCAAGAGACTTTGACTGATTTGTCAGCACGCACGTGGCTAATGGAGCTGTGCAGCCACTCCCCATGCCAAACACAAACGGGAGGAGGTGGAGTGCTTCATTGTGTGGCTACTTAGAACTTTAAAAAGGTGTATATTTTGGGCAGTGCCCATGGCTCAAAGGAGTAGGGCACCAGCCCCATATGCCAGGGGTGGCAGGTTCAAACCCAGCCCTGGCCAAAAACTGCAAAAAAATAAAGTGTATATTTTTGGCTGGGAGGCCGAGCGGAGTGGATTGCTTGAGCTCACCAGTTCGAGATCAGCCTGAGCAAGACTGAGATCCCCATCTCTACTAAAGATAGAAAAACTGAGGCAAGAGGATCACTTGAGTCCAAGAGTTGGAGGTTGCTGTGAGCTATGTATGATTCCACAGCACTCTACCCAGGGTAACAGCTTGAGACTCTGTCTCCAAAAAAAAAAAAAAACTGTATATTTTCAAATGCTTTGCTGAGTATGTCTTTTCATTTTCTCCTTTTTAAATACTAAAAAATTCCCTTTCATTTGCTCTCTAGCTGTATTAAACATACAGAATGATCCTCATCAAAGAATCATGCAGACAAATCACCTGATTAGTCAAAAATATAGAAACCGACCTGTTAATATTCACTGAGTTAAAGATAATATTTAGATTCAGGTGAAAGACACTAATTTTGATGGACCCATAGACTCTGACAGTTGGAAGAGGTCTTCAAGAGCATCTAGTGAAAAGGTCCACAGACCCCCAAAGGGTCCCCAAAGAATTTGAGGGGGATAGTCTGTGAACTTCCATGGATCTTCCACTGACCTCTAATTGAAATTTATTATTTTCTTCCATTTATGAATGTAATTTTAGACCTTGTCACCAGTGGAAGTCACAGATGCGCCGATATCACATTGCAGTTGTTTCAGATATCCCAAATGACATTTATGCTCATGATTGCCTCAAAATTAAGGTATTTATTAGTCCTTCTGCTAGATCTTTTTATTGAATACATTAATAAAGAAGCATATATGTCATTACTTCACAAACTAGTGTTTTAATATTATCAAAGAATTAGGCTGCTTCTTGGTCTTCTCACCTCCAGTCTAGGACTAAATCATGCTGAATTGAATGTATGGATCTTTTAAAACGTTATGCCATGCTATTTGCTTGATATTTGAGTTTTAATTTTTCTCTTTTTTTCTTTTTTTTAATTGAATAGTAACTATGTACATTAATGCACTTCTGGTGTACAGTGTGGGGTTTTTTTTTTTTTTTTTTGAGACAGAGCCTCAAGCTGTCCCCCTGGGCAGAGTGCCGTGGCATTACAGCTCACAGCAACCTCCAACTCCTGGGCTCAAGCGAGTCTCCTGCCTCCGCCTCCCAAGTAGCTGGGACCACAGGCGCCCGCCACAACGCCCGGCTATTTTTTGGTTGCAGCCGTCATTGTTGTTTGGCGGGTCCGGGCTGGGGATTCGAACCCGCCACCTTAGGTGTACGTGGCTGGCGCCTTAGCCGGTTGAGCTATAGGCGCCGAGCCCAGTGTGGGGTTTTCACACACAATCTGAAATACTTCCATCAAACTGGTTAACATAGCCTTCATGTCATTTTCTTAGTTATTGTCATTTTTCTAATTATGTTATTATTAAACCTTTTAACTATGAAAAACAAAAAGCCAACCATAATTTGACCACTCAAAAATAATCTTGAAGTTTTACTAGGCATATCTATTATGTCAGTCAGGGTTGTATTCAGATGCATGTACCAGAAAACTCGGCTATACTGGCCTAAATCTAAGTTTCTTTCTTTTTTTTTCACATTACAAATTCAGAAACAAGCTGTTGCTAGTATTGGCTCAGCAACAGAACAACGTCCAGGTCAACATTTCTCTCCCTCACAGTTCCAAAGTGGCTGCTTGCCCCTCCGTTACGTTTCTACTCAAAGGAGGTCAGCTTCATTTGTCCCTTTTATAAGGATGGTATAATCTCTCCTGTAAGTCTCTCCACCTCCCTCAACCCCCTGCTTATTTGCTTGTGTGTCTTGGTCCCAAACAGTGTAACACAGCTGTCCTAAACTGCAAAGCTTGGTGGTTAACCAAAATCAGTGTTTGGCTTTTCCATCCTCTGTCGTGGATTGGCGCCTAAGTGTCTGCCAGCCAGGTAGTTTATAAAATTGGGATTGTAGTACTCTGTATCGTCTTCCTTTTGTCATGTAGCCTTCTATCAGGAACATTATACCAAGTCATTGCATAGTCTTTGACAACATTCTTAATGGCTACCTGGCCTATTATAGTTTGGATACACAAGAATCCGTCTAATTCTAAGGTTTTCACAACTATAAAAATGTTTTTTCTTCTTCTTTTTTTTTTTTTTGAAATAGAATCTCACTCTGTCATCTGAGTAGAATGCCATGGCATCATCATAACTCACAGCAACCTCAAACTCTTTGGCTCAAGAGATCCTCTTGCCTCAGCCTCCCAAGTAGCTAGAACTACAGGCACCTCCTACCACGCCTGGCTAGTTTTTCTATTTTTAGTAGAGACAGGGCCTTGCTGTTCCTCAGGCTGGTCTCAAACTCCTGAGCTCAGGCAATCCTCCTACCCCTCAGCCTCCCCGAGTGTTAGGATTACAGGTGTGAGCCAGTGCACCCAGCCTGTTTGATTTTTATAAGGGTTTATTTACAGGATTCTTGAGCTAGACATCCTTGATGTTTGAACTTTTTTTTTGGTAAATATGCCCTCCAGATTGGGTGTCCCTGCTTCAACTGCACTAGCAATGTGTAAGAATGTTCATGTATTCAGATTCTTTCCAATAAGCAGATATAATTTCAATTGAAAAACTAGTTTCGAATTAATAGGAAGAAATGAACGCCTTCCTTTAATTTACGTTTCTTTGATAACTAGTGAGAATGGAAATGTTTTGCTAGACATCTGTGTTTCTTTGTATCACCTGCCTGCTGCTTTGGCCTCATTTTCTTCTTCAAACTATATAGGCACTGTATGTATACAGTAGTTTGTGTAGTTGTATAATTCTTATACATAATATTTGGGTATGTATCATATGGCTTTTTAAAGAATATTTAAGGCTGGAAACTTCCACCTGTTTTTGTAAATTGTATATATATATATTTTTTTGGAAACAGAGTCCCACCCTATGCCCTGAGCAGAGTGCAGTGGTATCATAGCTCACTGCGTCCTCAGACTCAGGCTGTGGGCATCCTGCTGCCTCAGCCTCTGGAAGCCGCTGGGATTACAGGCGCAGTGGTGCTGGCTGCGTATTTCTTTTTTTTTATGAGTGGGGGTCTCATTCTCACTAAGGCAAGTCTTGAACTCCTGAGCTCAAGCAACTCTCCCTCCTCAACCTCCCACAGTGCTGGGATTACAGGCATGAGCCGCGGCAACTGGCTGTAAATTGTATTCTTTATCCCAAAGATATTTCCAGCGACTTCTTATTGGATTTTTCTGAGTAAATTTTGCCTCTGGACTAAACTATTATTGACTCTGATAATTTGTCAAATTTTTTAATTTCTAGGAAATTAACTTTATAATCTGTAATAATTTTATTTCCAATGATCCGCATTTCTTGCTTTCTCCCACTTTCCTGAATGAGACCTCCTGGAACAGAGTAGTTATATGGATATAGGGTGTCCTTGACATCTTCCTGACTTACATCAGAAGTAATGTTTAGACATCAATTTTTTTACCATGTAAGGGAAATACTCTTTCAGTCATAAAAGTATTATTTACTAATACTTTCATTGGGACTACACATCAAATTTTATCAAATGCTTTTTGACACCTATCGAGATAATGATTTTTTCCTCCTTTAGTCTTTTGATTTATTAATATTGAATCAACAGATTCTTTTTTTTTTTTTTGCCTTACCTGGCAAAGGTATATATGTTATTAGTTCTGTTGCACTAGCAATGTAGTAAGAATGCTTCTTGACTTGTAGAACGTGTTTTATATTTACCAAGTATTATGCAATTAGCATTATTGTTTAAACTGACAGATGGAAGAAGTGGAATTTTCATTCCTTTAATAACAACTTTATATAACTTAAATTCTGTGGGTAATAAACATTAACTTCTTTTTTCTCTGGGCTAAATAAGTAGATTGAATAAACTCTCCCTACTATCTGTAAGGTGAGATTCTTTGCTTTTTAGCAATTCTGATCCAATGGTCCTGGCTAACATGTGCCTCCCTCTCTGAAGGGCACTCTGGTCACAGGAGTAACTGAAACCACAGTCCTCTTTACTTTTCACTCCCAAAGTTCCTTCGCTGGTTAAGTCATTTTTTCTGTACTTCCCTTCACATTTTTTACAGTAGAGGAGTTCACTGTTAGTGCTGGTGAAAACTGCTTCAGCTGAGGTCCTTGTGGTGATGGAAAATTTCTGAGTGATGAATTTAAAACCAGCAGGAAAACCTACCAGGTCTGTGAGGTCTCTGGTGTCCCCTTGGCTCTTCTCATGGTACTAACTGGGCACCACATTTTCCAGCTACGACAATGCTTTGTCACAGCTGCTGCATAGCCTGTGGCTTCAGCATCTGTGTGTGGAAAGGCTATTCACACCTGTGAGTTAGCACTTAGTAGGCCTACTCCCTCCCAGAAAGTGAAGCTCTGATTTTTGTGAGTACATGCAGATAAGTGCAAAGAGATGGCACTTATCTTTCACTCTGGTTTAAAAGGGAATTACCTGTCAGTTGTTATAACTTGAAATGAAGTGTTCTGAAGTAGGGTGGGGGCACCTTACCATATAAGCCACCACTTACAATACAGTAATTATGAGCCATCTCACTAGAGAACGTATTTGGGGTGATTCACGACTGTTGGTACACTTGAAAAGCTTTCACTTCTCAGCAAGGAGCTCTTTCTGACTTTGAATTAGGCATAAGAATTAAATTTCATCAAGATTTTCAACCTGGCAGTCCTTTTTTGTTAACCCAACAGCAGGTTTCCCATTGTGGCACGGAGGATGAAGCATGGGGATGTAACTAATTTTCAGATTTTTCCTGATGTACCTTGGTTTTATCTTGAAGTGGTTATTTCTGGCTTCAGATGATAAGCTCAAAATCTATCTGAGAATTTTACAGAGGCAAGCATGGAACAGGACATCGGTTAAGCTATCAGATATTTAACCTACCCTGTCACTTTTTGGAACTGCACTCCAAAGGAACCCTAACTCTTCAAGCTGATTCTATGTACACTCACATGTTGACACCTTTAGACCAGTCGGACTGGTCTCCGACTTTTGTCTTGCTCGCATACTTAGCGTCTGCTTGTGCTTACAACTTCTCAGTGAGCTATGAGCTAACAATTTCTAACATAACTGTTTCTCAAGAGGTTAGTTACAGAATCCTAATAGAAATGGCTACTATAAAAGTACATGTGGTCATTTGGGGCCTAAAGTAGGGTCAGTCTGAAACAGCTAATTATGTGTAAACAAGAAGTAAGCTCAGTTTTACAAAAGAAGATTCATGGTATCATCACAAACAGTGTGTACAGTTAGTTCCCCTTCCCCAGGAAAGCTCGCTTTCAGGGACTTGCTAATTTGGGAATTGTCTGTCCAAGAGAAAAATGGCTAAGAGCATGAATAGACCATACACAAAAGAAAAAATACAAATGACCGATAAGGATAAGAAAAATATTCAACCTCACTTGTATACAAGAAATTATATTTTTTAAAAAAAACTATTAATGTAGTAGGTTGACAAAAATTAAAAATAAGAATCTCCAATGCTGGAAGGGGCAGAGCTATGGGTACAGAGACTGTTGGTGGGAGTAAATCTGTCCTATCTCGTCCCATGGCAGTTCGGCATTGTGCAGCAGGGTGCGAAACGCACACACCCTTGGATGCAGCCAGTCTGCCGTATGTGCTCGAGTGCCTGTGAAAGCCTGTGGTCAGTAACAGGAGAGAAGCTGGAAATACCCTAAGTGTTAAAGGAAGACTCTTCAGCCATTAAAAGTAGTCAATATACTTCTATTTTATACACTGTTTAAAAATAAAATATTAGGCTACAGAATAGCAGTGTAGAAATATATACAAGGGATGCCAAAAATATATACATACATTTTAAGAGATCTTGTTGGAAATCAATCTAAAAGTATATAAACTGCAGGTAAAATGGATGTGTGTAGCATGTCTGGGTACACTTGACACCAGGACCAATAATGGTACCTTCAATTCAACTTTGAAAAGTAACACATAGATAACATCTCTAATTATGTGTATAATTTTTTGGTACCCTCTGTATATACTACACAACCTATACATTATATGCATAACCTATAAAGTATGTCTATATTTCCTTCATATATTTTGGGTGGAAGGGGTAATGAAATGGGTTACTTTTACTAACAGTGTAAATTGTGACTAGGAAATCAAGGACTGTTTGTTCATAGGAACTCAGAGGACTTTGTCAGCTGTGGTTAGAGATGTTTCAAGTTAGCCATGTAGTTTATATTCTGAAGAAGTGAAAAGGACTGTCGCTATGCTGAGCTCAGCACCTGCATTTCTTTACTAAGAGACTGAACAAAGGTGTACAGGACATATCCTGTTTGTGGCTTTTATTTAAGTTGACTCCTCTAAACTAGGCAGAAAATTAGACTAGAAAAAGAAGAAAATGCTTCTAAAATGATGGCTTTATATTATTACAATCTAGCCCTATTTTTAAACTTAAAATCAAATAAGTTTGATGTAGTTGACAAATTAAGAATTTTAATTGCGCCTGTCCCACATTTGCTAATTTGCCAAGGAATCTAACTCATATAGCAAATTAAAGGCAACGTTCCACTACGTGGTCTGTGTGGTAGTCTGGCCTCTTTGAGAATAAAGGGCACTCCACGTTATTAACATGAGATAGCTTAGAACCCTGCCTGTTCCCTGCTCCCCAATAAAGTTCACTGTCCTGTTTAATGTGGCATCTGACCTGGTTTCCTCTTTTATTTACTCTGTTTAGAAGAATTTTGTTGAGCCAGAACTTTACTGTATTATCTTTACTGATTTTCCACTTAAGGAATTAGAAACTATGAAATCTTTATTCCTAAGCAGAACAAAACAGGGGTCTTCTGCAGTCAGCATAGTGACCTCCTTGTTTTTATGACGTAGACTATTCCATTTTTGTTGATTTCAGTTCCCTGAGGACAATGAATGTCCAAACAGCTCCCAAAAGGGAAAAGAAAACAAATTACTGGGCTTTTCTATGTCTGTGCCAACAAGCAGGAGTGACTACTCCCTTATCCATATATAACTCTCCCCTCCAAAGAAAAAGGAACCACTCCCTAGAAAACCTCATAGTAAATAAAAGCAAAGTGTTATGTTAAGGGTCTCTCAGGATAACTTCTGACTTGTCAAACAGAACAAGAGTCGCATGTTTCGAGTACAGTTTAGTGGAGAGTCAAAGGAGCAGGCGCTGGAACACTGTTGCAGTTGCGTGCAAAACCTGGCCCAGTATGTAACCGTTCAGGTGCCCGATGGAATCATCCAGGACCTTCAGCCAAATCCTGGCCTGCTGAGACCAAGTGAGCACCAACAGAAGGACTCTGCAAAGAGCATCCCATCACGGTACAAAGTAAGTAGGCTTGATGTGTGGCTATACATACAAGACACCTGACAGTGTAATGCGCTATGGGGGAGGCCGAGATTGTAATGCAATCCGTCAAGTCCATCAGGTTTGTAGTTTTAAAAGGTATCTTATGTCTTATGTTGAGTGACTTCTTAAATTTGAGACTGATACTCACTGTCACCACCTATAATCTTAAAATGAGGGAGTCCCAGCTGCGTTCCAGGTGTCATGACAGAACAGTGATCCTCCAAGTGTGCTCCATTGATGCCTTCATAAGATCCCTTTCCATGGGGCCAACCAGGTCAAAAGTAATTACTTTCTTAATATTTAAAGACATTATTTGAGGGTGGCAGCTGTGGCTAAAAGGAGTAGGGCGCTGGCTCCATATACTGGAGGTGGTGGGTTCAAACCGGGCCCCAACCAAAAATTGCAAAAAAAAAAAAGACATTATTTGACGTTTTCACTGGGTTAACAACTACATTGATGGGACAAAAGCATCATGAGTAAAGCTGCTGTCACCTCAGTACAAATCAGGTAGTGGCACCAAATTGTCCTAGTAGTCATCATTCTTTAGTCACCTGCAGTGAAAACAAACTTAACAAAATAAAATGACCCTGCATCCTGCAGGACAATGGTTGTCTCAAGGGAAAGCACCTATGTGATGTTCGTGTTATGAGCTGAACTTGCTTCTTTTTTCATGAAATACCATTATTACTTGAAAGAACAATGGATTGTCTTGTCATTCAAATTTGGTTACCTGGCAGACATTTTCTCAAAAATGAATGAACTGAGCCTATCATTTCAGGAAAACAACTGACCATATTTACCAATAATGATAAAATTTAACTTTCAAGTAAAAATTAGAATCTTGGAAAATTTCTGTCATGTGGGCTTCACACCTTCCAACCCAGAAGACTTTTTTGAAGGTGTTATTAATGAATGTGATAATTTTTTCATGAATCAATTACATGGCAAAATGTGTCAATATTTGAAAGATAAGTGTAGTTCAGTGAATCAGTATTCTCCAAATGAGCCATGCATAGTGCTACAAAATCATTCATGGATAAAAGAGCTATTCAAAGTGCAATAGGTACACTAATGGACTGTAATATAACAATATAACAAGTTGTTTGCTATGGTTTCAGATTCTGTATCACAGCTAACCTTCAAGCAACTATCATTCACTGTGTTTTGGTGTCATACAAAGGAACAGATGTCTGAAAAATCTAAAATAGGCCTCCCTTCTCCATTTACGTATCTGTATAAGGCCAGATTTTTTCATGTACTTTTTTTCTTTTTTGAGACAAGGTCTTACACTGTCTCCCAGACTAGAGTACAATAGCATCATCACAGCTCACTACAATGTCAAACTTCTGGGCTCCAGTGATCCTCCTGCCTCAGCTTCCCAAATAGCTGGGACCACAGGCACCTGCCACCATGCCTGGCTAATTTTTCTACTTTTTGTATAGATAGGGTATCATTTTTGCTCATGCTGGTCTTGAACTCTTGGCTTCCCAAAGTGCTAGGATTATAGGCTTGAGCCACTGTGCCTGGCCTCTTCATGTACTTTAACCAAAGCAACATTATTACAGTGGACTGAATACAGGCAGCTCTGAGAGTTCAGCCATCTATTAAGCTAAAGATATTTGCAAAAATCATACCATGTTTTGTTTTGGAAAACATAATTATTAATATTAACATAATGGTTTATTATTTTAATGATCAGTATTTAAAAAATTCTGGTTAACTTCTAATGTAAACAGCAGATAGATGTAATTCAAACAAAAGTTCTTAGAGGGCCTCAATAATTTGTAATAGTGTAAAGGGGTCTTGAGATCAAAAGTCTGTGCAACTCATTGCTATAGAATTTTTCAGAAATACAGCATTTCTTTGACCTAGTCCCAAACATTGTTAGAATAAGCATCTACTCTCAGGATACAATTTGTTTCAAGTTTGAGAAATAATTTCCTAAAGCTTATTTTTCTTTTACTTCATCCTATTGGTTTCCCTTTACCTAGACGATTCATTTTGCTATTTTATCACTAAGGTTTTTGTCATTCACAATTTATCTAAGGTGAACGTAAATTTACATTATGTAGTAGCAAGTCTGTCTTTAAGCGGGTGCTGCATGACTTCCTCTTGAGTGTGTTTAGTTTGCCAAACAGATTTTGGTGCTGGAGAGTCCTTTCTCTTCTTCTGAGTTTCGTGAAGGTGCCTTAACATGAAGCTGCTCATCTCACAAACACTGGATCTAGTTTCAAACAATATGCCTCGTTGACTTCTGCTTCATGATTTAAGAATCCCCTCCCTACACATGAGATGGGGTTTACTGTAAGTTACTTTATTGCTTAGGATTCTTTGCCCATTAAGTAGATTTCCTCATAGTTTTATGAGAAGACAGACAGTGGACCCAATGCATGGAGTGCAACAAGGACCCAGCAGGGTCCCTTAGAAGCCCTCAGATTTGAAAAACATCTGCTTAGGCCATAGTTAAAATTACAAGGGTGGGGAGATGTAAAAACTAAAATATGTGAAAACATATCAGGCTAGAACCTCATCAGGCTACACAGTTATCTAAATATTAAAAATGCCAGATAAAATGAAGTCGTAACACGTAACGCACAGGCTGAGTTGTGAGCTACAGCAGCAGATGAAGGCTCCAGCTCCCTGATCTTATTGGTTCCAGATGTCTAGGTAGAAACAGCCCAGAAGTGGTTAGGAAACTTGCATGTCTTTTCTTGATTCTATATTTAGGGATCTCTGACCTGTAATTTGGTGTTCTGTGTAGAGCCACAGGTTTGAATTCAAAATTGATCTAGGTTAGAATCCTGCCTTTATTTCTTTGTAGCTGCCATGGTCTTGTGCAGTCCACTGAACCTCCTCTGTAAAATGGTGAGATGGAGATGCTGTATAGAAAGCACCTTGAATGCCTGCGAATGCAACCTAAGTAACACCCATTACTACTATCATTGACAGTACTGCTACTTTTTCATAAGTGCCTTCCCTTGCAAATGAGCAGATTAATTTCCTGGTCAATTAGCTAGGGTCAGAACCTCCACAGCCAAGAGGGGACAACGACAAGATGAAGTATCTGACGCTGTAGAACACAGACAAGATAAAGGCTCTGGTCTGATTCCAGAGGGCAGACATCATGAGGCACTCCTAGGACATTCTAGTCTTCCTAATAAAACATTCCCAGGTTTGCTCTTAACTGTTGCCGTGGAAACTTAGGATTAGGTTCCATTTCTCAGAATCCATCTTAATAGTTGTGAGGATGGCCAAGTCTGGTCATCACACTGCTCTTCTGTATTCAGGTGTATCATTTTTCTAATACCTATGTGTTTTTTAGTCTAAAATGGTTGGCTGTTCCCTTCTTTGCAAATAGAGATAATTCCATGTCTATTTCAAGTTCTTGAGTCATTTCCTGGCTCACGTTTAGTTTTTACTTTTTTCTCAGCCTTGTAATTTTGTTAATTGTGGCCTAACCAGGTTTCTCAACCTGAGGGCTTCTAAGGCAACCCACCCCACCCCAGAGAGGGGGTTGGCTGGGACAGGAAAAAGCACAGCAGCACCTAGGTGAACTGTTAGCACAAAAAGTCTAGGAGAAGAAAGTAGCCAGAGCTCCAGCTACTGTGCACAGAGAACCTTCCGTCTCTATGCCTTGCAGGGTTGACTACTCCCAGAGCCCACTGGCCTCAGGTGCCTTAGTCGAGTTTGGCTCTTGATTACAGAGTTTGCAGCAGGTGATTTTGGCTGGCACTTTTATTAGTTTGAGGAACGTCATCATCTGAACTGATCTGTATCCTAGGAAAGCATCAATTATCAGAGCTGGCAGAAACTTGAGGCACTAGAGGCTGACTTTATTTTTACAGATGAGGAAACTGAAGAAACTGAACAGAGAACTGGGGCTTGTCTGAGGGCTACTGATTATGGAGTCCCTTGGCCTCTTGTTCATTTTGACTTTAAAATTCTTGACTAGTTCTTTTCTGTCCTTTCCGTCCTTACTGTCCCTCCCGAGCACCTCCTCCCCTTTTTTGGATGCTTCCAGATCTAATCTTCTACTCCTTACTGACTGGCAATAGTCAGCTCCTCTACAGGACATGAGGTACAATGCGGCACGCTCTTCCTTCTGGCAGTCAGATACTTTGCTGGGGGACAGAGGCGCCTCCAGAGGGGGCCTTCCTCTCTCCCCGTATTATACTGTGGGTACGTAGCTAGTGTGGGACACCACTGCCTGTCTGCAGATAGTGCTACAGCAGCAGGTGCAGGTATCCAAAGCTTAGCAGGGCCTGCAGAGGCTGGGAAGGAGCACAGAGAGGGCCCTTCGTGCCTCCAGACCTCCTCTACCGGGTTCATACCATTTGCCTGCAAAGCATCCTGTGGTCTTTGAGACAGCATGGTCCCCAGAGCATGCCTGCACATCCTGCCCAGCAACAAAGCCCTTCAGTCAGCCCCTCCCTATGCACCTGATGCATTTATGCACACCTCTGCTCCAGCATCACAATCCTCATTTTACCTTTTAGGTTCTCACAAAGCTGTGGTTTTTGGAGGGCAGGACCTCTGTCTTACTCTTTGTAACTCCTGTCCCTGTATCACCCCCCTATGTCTACTATATTAGTAGATAAGTAAAATCCCTAAATATTATATATAACTCATAGAACTCATTCATGTCTTAAAGGAGATTTTAAAAAACACCAGACCTGGTTTTATTAAAAACATAGTTGTCTCAAAATTATAGTGCTTTCCCTGTTTTGCATTTGTAAGTAGACGTGTATTATATGAATAATGATTTTTAGAAGTAGATGAATCATGATCATCAGAAGCTGGGCCCCAAAGGGTGCTGTGGCAATGGTACTTGCTTTCACCAGTGCTGGGCCTCTGAAGACAGAAGAATGCCCCAACATCTGCCAGGGAGCAGTCTGCCAGATGCTGGAGGACATAGGTCAGGAGCCACAGATTTAAACTCTTCATGTACTTCTGCTATGATAAACCAAGTAACCTTGCAGTTAAACCAAGACAGACCTATGCTGATGACTATTTCTACCCCTTCTACTGATATTCACTCACATTCAAAGAAAAGAAAAAAGGATGTTTCCACTTCTTTGATGGTTTATGGCATTTATGATTATGTTCAGCTAATCATAATCCTAATTATGTGTTTTATTCTAGTCCTACCAGCACCTGGAAGAGCAGGCAGGTCTCAGAGCTAGCCCAGGCGCACCAGAGGGAAGGACGTCAGTGACACAGTTAGCTCAGGTAGATCCTATTTCAATCTTCTTGTCACAAAAAACAATGACCCCTAAGAATTTGGATCCATCTGTATACTTCCTTATTGTACAACAGAAACCTAAAAGGGTTACTATAGAACAGAAATTTGTAACCAGTGTACCGTGGAACATTTTACAGATTAAATTACTTTATTTTGGATCAACAAAATTTAAGTAAGCCATGGAAGTTTAACTATAGGTTCAAGTGCATAGTGAGATAAAACAGGTTGAAAAGCACTGCTCCAGAAGAAGAGACAGGCCATTTTCACTCCTGTTCGGAGATTAGACAGGATGGCACCTACTTGAGAACTGCCATCCTGAGGAAATGAAAAGAGGAAGAGTGGCTGAGTATTTGAGAGAATTTAATCATCTTTCCCCCCCAAAAAAAGAATAAAGGGAAGAATTCAATTTTATTTTGATATTTGTCTTAAAACAGTTCCCCAAATTTCATTTCCAATATTGATCTGGAGTCGGATCTAAGATGATTTCTGAAGGGGCAAATTTTCAGTCCTAGGATCTAGATTCAATTCAAAACCTCTTCATTCAAAATCATAGTGGCTTAATATCCACACTGCTAGGAGCTCTGCAGGGACTTTGTCCCCCCACTGCATTTCCAGCTGCACTTGGCAAAGGTGTTCACACCCATAGCTTGTGCTTCTCACAGAACTGAGTATTCTCTTTAATGCATCTATTGAAACTGTGCTAATAGTAACATAAAAAAGGAAAATATGGGTATTTTTTCCATCTGCCTTACCACTAACTCGAAATAAATGGACAATAATATAAAATGAAGAATTTAAGAGGTAAGAAGACTAAATAAGAGTTTGTGTTTATTTCTTTTAATAACCCAGAAACTGTGACAGAAGAACCTAAAGAGCCTATTTGTCTAGCAGTGGGGCAGTCTTCATAATGCCTATATTTGTATTAGACTTGGGGGTTAACTGAACCCAAGCAGCTGAGGACACCTGAGTTACAAAAACACAAACAACAAAACCAAGGCAGGGTTTGATGTCCTTATTAAGGAAATATTAGTTGCTATTAGTTGCTATAAAAGTTAATTTGCATAGTAAGGAAGAACCATGTACCAAGGAGAAAATGCATGAGGCCTGGAGCTCAGATATATCACTTATTTGCTCTAATCATCTGGACAAGTCAGTCTGTGAATATAAGTTGATAAAACTTTTTGGTAGGCATTTTAGCAATATATACCACATTCAATTTATGTATTTTTTTATAATTCCATTTCAACCACACCAATACACATGTTTATCACAATGTTTATAATAAGATGCTAGGAGGTTAAACCAGGGGTTCTCAAACTTTTAAACAGGGGGCCAGTTCATCTCCCTCAGACTGTTGGAGGGCTAGACTGCGGGGCCTGGGACGAGTTGGCTGCTAAGCAAGACAGGCAGTGGCGGCAAAAACACTCAGCGGGCCAGATAAATGTCCTTGGCAGGCCCGCGCATGTGGCCTGCGGGCCGTAGTTTGAGGACACCTGGTGTAAACCATAAATGGGATAAAAATGCAATCAATAAAAGTGATACATAGATACCTATGTATTGACATCGAAAGATATTCACAATATATATCTAATTCCTGTAAACACACCTTAGTTTGGAAGGGTGTGCACTAACATGTTAATAGTGGCTCTCAGCGGAAACAGAGCTCCGTGTTGTTTTCATTTTCTTTTTTATACCATTAGGCAGTCTGAGAAGCCATTATGAATTTATAAAAGTAAATTTCTATCACAGGTAGTTCCGAGAAAAATGTCAGTTGTATATGTATGCATGCTATCCATAGAAAGAGAATAAAACCACCACCTACCTCAACAGAATTAATGTGAGGAGTCAGTGAAATGTCCACACCAAAGCAAATGACCACACAGAGCTGGAGCCCCTCGTCATATGGGACTGTGGATCCAGAGCTGCCAGATATTCCAAACTGTCAAGCACAGTCAGACTTCTATTTCAACTCTCCTAATATTTACATGTTGGCACCTTACTCAACTGGTTTTAAAACACTGCAGGTTACCAAAGAAAACATACAGATGGCACATGTGAAAAGATGCTCAGCATTATTAGTCATTAGGGGAATGTAAATTAAAACCACAGTGTGATGTCCCTGCACACTTACTAGAATGGCTGAAATTCAAAAGTACTGATGATACCAAGTGCTGCATGGATGAACAAATAGAACAGAACTTTCATATGCATTGTTGGTGGAATGTAAGATGGTACAAGCCATGGATGTCCACCACAGATGACCACTGGGCAGTTTCTTACCAGGTTAAATATACATTTTCTATATAACCCATTCCTGGGTATTTAAGAAGTGAAATGAAAACCTAGATTTATGGCAGCTTTATTCATAATTGCAAAAAGCAAAACAACCTAAGTCCTTTAACAGGGAACTGTAGCACATCCAAACAGTAGAATACTTAGCAATAAAAAGAGATGAACTACTGATAAATTCAGTGACATGGGTTAATCTCAAATACATTATGCTAAGTGAAAGAAGCCAGGTTCAACAGACTATTCTATATGATGATTTCATTTATATAACACAGTGGAAAAGGCAAAACTGTGAGGAGTAGAGAGATCAGTGGTTATTAAGTCTTAGGAATTTGACCACAATGGGTAATATGAGCAAATTTTGGGGGGAGGCGATGGAAATAATCTGTATTTTGACTGTGGTGATGGTTACATGACTGTCAAATCTCACAGATGGCCAAAAACAAAGTGTGTTGGTGAGCTAATTGCATCCTTTGGGCAATTTGTGACCTCTCTTTCTTACATTCCGAACCCAACCTCCACATAGAGAACCATTCATACCCCTTCTACCACCCATGCTGTGGGGAAGGTGAACCAGTTCATCCGTTAATAGGTTTCTTATTGATCCATAGGATGTTATCAGCATAGTTTTCTTCATCAAAGCAGAATCTCAATTTTGCAAATCATTTAAGCAATACAGTTGAAATACTTATAGATACAGGTTTATCTCACTTTCTATGTATTCAGGAAATGTATATACAAAATTATAAATGCAATAGTAAAAAATACTATGTAAAAGCAGCCTGTAAGGCTAATGAACCCTAATTTTCCTTAAAGCATTGTTTTTCTGTGTTCTGCCCTGTAATCTCTAATGAACTGTTCTTCTGGTGTCCCCACAGTCTCTCCTGGCTTCAGAGGAGCTGCCCCTTGTCTATGAGCAATCTGCATGGGGTGCGGAAGAGTTAGGCCCCTTTCTTCGCTTATGCCTCCTGGATCAGAATTTTCCAGCATTTGTGGAAGAGGTAGAAAAGGAACTTAAAAAGCTGACAGGGTTTAGAAATTAATGTTCTCTCTACATATCTAACTCAGGAACTTCCATAAATGCTTCTTCCTAAAATTAAAGAAGATATTAGAATAAAGAGTATTATTCCAAACACCTTTTATCAATGTTTTATTTTTAAAAACAGGTGAATTCACTTTTTTATACATCATTGCACTTCAACAATTACACAAAACACCAATACCATGCATCTACAGTTAACGTACTGCATGAGAACCCTGTTAGGTTATAAAATCTACCATCAATCATTTAAATCAATGTGAAAAATACAGTGTCAAACCAAAAAGTATAACTATAGTTGCATAGAGTATCACCATGCTGTAACATTTCAAGGTCATGGAAAACAGAAGGAAAATTATAAAAGTTTGCCTTGATTGAATGTACAAGAATAAGGTTCAACACATCAGTGCAAAAGGATTTCAGAATTTACATGATTTAACAAAAGAAAAAATCACATAAAAAGCAATCATGTGTATGTATATACTGCAATTCATTATACCCATTCAGTGGACTATACCAACTTCTTAATAAAGTCTTAGGTTAAGCCCTTAAAATTAAAGATTTCAGTTTATATTATTCATCTGTATATACCAGAACTGCACATTTCCTCATTTGACAACATACAATAAGGAATGAATATCAGCAGCTTAAAAATGAAACAAGCATTTACTTTATTCTGGATTTCTCCCACCCCCAAAAATATAAATATATATATTTATATACTGTATATATCTGTAGGTTTTGCTGTACTTTACAAAAATGTATCACTAGATGGCAGCAGTGCATTTTAGAGCTTTGCCAATTTAACAGCTGCATTAAGTAAAAAATGGCGCATGCACAATCTGATCCTCAGAGGACCTTTTCACTTCTATTTAAATATTTTAACAAAGGAAAAAAAGCAACATTCACAGCACATCAAGCCCAAAATAGTTTACACCTTCTACATTGAAGCATTGTTTAAAATGTACCTGGCTAGGTCACCCTTACAGGAGAGGCTAAATAAGGCATGCTTTTAGACAGTTGTCGTGGTGGTGCTCACTTGAAAAGGGGAGAGAACCAAAGAGGTCCAAGCGGAAAATTTAGCAGGTCATGTTGCCACCAGTTTCAGGAACCTAAAAATCTGAGAAGACGGATTTCAAATTAAAAGGGAGTATATGAACAGTTACTCAAACGCCACCAAAGTGCCATGTAAAGTAAGGCCTTGGTTCCAATAGCATGCTCAGGGATGTGGTGTGAAATTCTGATCTCCATGTGCCCAACAGGAGGCTTTCTGGCCCTGCTACTGCCTGGCCACCATTCTTATCTTGCCCTCAGAAGCAAGGCCTGATAGACCTCTAGGAATAACCCACCCCATAAGGTGACAATGTAATCTTTAACTCTTTTTAAAGATACAAGTAAATAGTAGCTCAAACTATTTATTTTTAAACATCATACATATTCTGAAATGGCATTTATGTAAATAGTTGAAACAATGCAACTGAAAATGTTTCCAGTTGCTAAACTGGGAGGGTAGAACTTTTATCAGCATCAGCTGCTCTGAAATGAACCCAAAGACCTTACAACATAAGACCAACTACTGAATTTGTAACAAGGTCAACAGAGCACACTCATTTGAAACTGCTAAAGATGACCATACTTACATTATAAGCAGTACTTAATTTGTGTTTCTCTGGCGCAAATTTTTATCTTTGTGATTGTTGGTAGAGTTGGTTTTCCTTTGGAGGAAAAATTGCATTACATGAGTTAAACTCAGTAACAACTTTTGAAAGTATTAACACATGGAAATACAGGGACTCTTTCACTTACTGCCATCCCTGGTGTTAGTGCATAAAAATATTCCTTATGTAAAGGTATATACAGGTTGAGTATTCCCTACCCAAAATGCTTGGAACCGTAAGTGTTTCAAATTTTAGCTTTTTTGGATTTTGGAATATTGGCATTATACTTACCAGTTCAGCATTCCTAATCCAAAAATCCAAACTCCAAGCACAACTCAAATGAATATTTCCCTTGGGCATCATGTCGGCACTTAAGAAATTTTTGGATTTTGGAGCATTTCTGGACTATAGATTTTTGTATTAGTATACTCAACCTGTATCTACCTTCATTAATCATCCTTTTGACTCCCAGGGCAGACAATATACTATGATTTCTAAACTATAATCCAATTACTATAAAAGTGAAAGTAAATTTTTCTCCTCTGAATAGTCACTGTCTATCCTGACTGGTAAAAGATAGTCACAAGCTGGCAATGATATAGTCTGAAGCACTGCAGTCACAAGCTATGTACTCTGATACTTAAATAATTTGAGCACTGTCTGCCTGCTTCTCCTTAAAGTCCTGGAGTGATTCCATACTTGCAGCTCCATCTCCCTTGGATGCCAGCATATCCGAGAGAGATTTGTCTATGCTATGTCCAGCTTGAAATTAACAAAACTAAAAGCCTTGGATACGCTGGTCATTTCCCCTGCATTGTCAGTTTAAGCATATATAATATGCAACTGATATGTATGACTACCAAAAACAAGACTATACAAGCCTGTCCTGGGAATCAAATAGTCTTTAGTCAAATCCACGTCAGATTAAAAGGTCTACGCTGCAAACTTCATTTTCACTCACTATCTTCCTCTACAATCTTAGCTACTCCATTTCATTAAATGCAAATACAACATAATTCAGTCAAACTATTGAGTCAATGTCCAAAAAAGTACTTACATTGGCCCAGCTGGTTCATCGTCTGCATTGGTGTTCAGTTTTTTAATATTCCATGAGAGATAGGAGAAGAAAGGAGAAAACTGTTAGGCTCTGCAAACACATTAATAGAATAGCAAGTGCAAGTGGCAGACATGGCTGTTCATAGCATTTATTAAAGGCCATTCCATCTGGAGGTGCAAAACACTCATGAAGTTGTTACTTCTAGATTCAAGTTTTAATGGCAGGTATGTTGTTTCAATGGTTTTAGTTAACACTTTGAATGCTTGTCATGAAAAACTGCAACTGTAGCGGACAGATAGGCTGCAATATCATTATACTCATCTTGTCCCCAAGTTCCAGTGGTTCACTCTTAGATGAGAAGACAAACCAACATTTCAGTTGTAAAATCCTGCTGTTTGTTTTCTTGTGGTGAACGCATGCAGTTTTGGCTCAACCCTGCAATGTAAATGGATGTGCACATTCCATACATTTAGCTACACATCCTCACTTCCCCAAAGGGCACTCTGTTTTTCTTGCTATTTTGTAATCTTTAGGAGAGTCTTTAGTCTGGAGAATGAGAATGAGGAAGAGGCAGCCACAATAGTTCAACCTAATACTGGGTTAGCCATGCTGGGCGATGCCAGCAACAAACATGTGCATACCAGAGGATGTTCTGTGACACGCCAAGGAGAGCTGGATAGCGGTGACATCCCTCTAGAAAAGACTTCACATATGAAGACAGGCTCACTCTTGCACCCTGGGCTAAACCAGAACCCAAACCCAGGTGAGCCATGAGATATCTTTTTTTTTTTTAAATCAAAAAGCATGTATTAATCTGAGTTTAGAAGCCTTCTTAAGTAGATACTTTATGATTCTGATTTGTAAGTTTGTCTTTCCTATTTCAACTAAGGGCAATTTGGTCCCCTTTAAGCAGATATATACATATAAAGACTTTTTTTAAGACCCACAAAGGGAAGGGAACAAGTGCTCTTAGTTTGTTTTTATTATACAAAAGTCAGGTGGACTACGTGATCCAGTTTAATTTCACTGAAGGCTTCTAGAAAAACTTTCAGCAGGATTCCACAAGGGGGCTTGGTGCACATGAAGCAGTTATGGAGATCACAGTCTCAGTGTAGGCATCTGCAGGAGCACACGTTGGGAGTAATGTCTGTCAGAGGGAGACATTGCTCCACCTGTTCCTTCAAGACAACGGAGAGGCAAAGCCACCGCCAGCACACACAGTGACTGGAGCAAAAAAGGATTTCAAAAAAAAGAACTAACCACAAACCAATGACTCATCAGCCAAAACAATAGGCTAGCGACACACCAGTGTCCACAGGAGTCCACTACTAACAACAGTACACTATCAAACAGGTACAGAGAACAAACTAAGACTGGAGGACACCCAAGACATCTGTGTGCTGTGTATGCAGTGGAGAGATACAGAGACATACCAGGTACTAGACACACGAGCCCAGCCTAAATCCTCCCTCACAAGATCCTAATGCTCTGCATCTCAGCCAAGCCAGCTCAGCTACATGCTAGGAACTAAAGCACTTTGGGGATTTAAAGGAAAAGACACAGGAGCAAACTTGGAATAATGCTCTGGCTGTGCACCCCAAAATACAAAATTCTAATGCAAGGTAGCTGAATCAAGAATAACACCAATGTACTCCCAATTTTAAAATAAAAAGCAGGGGAGGGAGAATTGCAATAGCCAGGCTACTCTTCTCAAAGCATGACACTGTAGGCACCAACCCAAGCACCTTGCAACCACAAGGTTTTCCTTTTGGAGTGGAGGTTTTCCCTGGCATCTGACTAGTAACATCACTTTCCAGCCCTACAAGCTGGTAACATGCAAAGGGCTACATGGAGGTGTTTTAGCGACAGTGCCTCTGGCGCAGCGGCCATGCCTACAAGTGGGAGTAGCAGTCTCACACTGGTGGCCAAATCCCTGGAGCCCCCTTCCCTCTCTCCCCCCAAATCCACTTTCACATTGACAAAGAACAAAGGAAAGAGCCTCATATTTCCCCACTCTCCTGGACTGAATCACTATCTACAGTGCCACTTCCCCTACAGATCAGACAAAAAACAACTTAATCCTAACAGGGAAGTCAGGAGAGGGGGAAAGAACAGAACTACAGAAAAAAGGTACGAAAATCAAAAGTAAATGAGGATTAAACAGCAAACTGAAATCCAAATTAGTTGTGAAAGTGAATGAAGTAAACTTGGAGAAAGTGTTAACATTATGAACTGTGCATTGTATAGACTGAAGCGGAGATTAAACAAACTCCAAAAGCATGCATATCGCTCACTTACCACCATGTTTTAAGGGTTTGATGCAATTGAGGGGGAAAAAAAAGAAGTCATAGTAACCGACAAGTATCAACATACCCCCAAACCCTCAGGCCAAGATAGCCAGCTGTTCTTTCCACCTGGGTATTACAGCCACTGGCTAGATGACAGGAAGAGGACTGGCAGGAGAAGGGAAACAGGTGCTTCTGGAATCCACCTTCTGAGAGTGAAATTTCTGGGGAGCTGCGGCACAGGCAGATTGGTCTGCAGGCTCTGTCTTCCCAACCATGTGCACTACAGCCCTCCCTCCACCTACATCCTCTTCCTCATGGAGAAGGGGTGCTCAGCCATATCTAGTAAGTAACAGATTGCTTAATGCAGTATCACCTCTGAAAAGATAGCTTTAAAGTAAAAATAACAAAGAGCTGACGCTCTGGTTAAAGCTCCTTTGTCACTGCATTCATCTCACTGAAGATGGGGTTTTATGGTTTCTAAATCCACTTAAATTTTGACTGGTGTCAGCAGATTAGCATTAAACCCAAGAGAGATTAATGGTTACTTCCAATTTCCTCCCTTGTTTTTGGTTCTGTTGCATTTTCTCCATAAGGTAACTTGTTACTGTCCCAAATTACCCCCTCACCCCATTAACAGACATTGAAATGTGTGTTTTGGTGTCAGTTTAAAAGTCTCATTTCATTTTCAATATTCCCAGCCTGTTGTAAGGGTTTATATGCTACCAGATATTTTAGCAAACTAATAGGTTTTGGAACATTAATATAGCTTAGTTCTAAAGTCTCTAAGAGCTTGAATATATCAGCCACTAAAAATGCCTCCCCAAAACCCTCAAATTATCTTCTGCATTAGAAACTTAAAAGGCGTTCCTTTGACTTGCTTATAAAAATTATCTCAATGTGAAAATAGAAAGTTCGTTTTGACGCCAGCACCATTTTTCTTAATCAGATCCTACTGTTTTAATTTGATGTCTGTGAGGTTAATAAAATGCCCAGTAGACCTCAAGGCCTACAAAGCAGCAAGTTTGCTCCCCTTCTCCCTATAGCTCTCAAAGTGTAGTCAGCAGAGCCAACACAGAAGGTGTACTCAAAGCAGGTGCCAACTATGACATGGACGGAGACCCGAGGATGCTAGCTTGACCTTGTCTTTTCAGGGAATGCAACCAAGTGGTGAATAAAGTAAAAACCGAATCTCTTATTTGGCTCCATGATTCACTTGTTCCTGAAAACACTGTTGGTAAAAGGTGGTATGTAGATAATTCACTTACATGACAACCTATTGGGCACTGAGCCTCAAAGAGACCGGAGATTTAAAAAATGTGGATGTGAGATTTCCACTTACAAAATGGTCTGAGTATACTCCAGTAGACACAATAACAAGAGGCTCATGCGGCTTTTTTTTTTTTTTAAAGGAAGCAATTAAACCTTAAACAATTCTTAAGTGTTTTCAGTGTGAGAACTCTATAGTGATCTTGGCCTTTCTAATGAAACACACTGAAACTGACTGCTACATAAGTTCAAATTTGTGTGTTTTTCTCTTTTTGTATTGTTCACTTTAGGGGTTATCTAGTAAGGGCAAGTCTTACCAAAAACTACCAGACTACTCAAAATATGAACACTATGAGCTCATATAAAAAAAGTTCTGTGAGTCTGAAATGAACTGTAGGTATATCCTGACAATAAAGTACCAGTTTGGCAAAGAAAAAGCATGTCAGGCCCATTAAAAAAGTTCCCATTTTCATAATGGCATAAATAAGCCAACTCAGAGCCACAGATGGTTGATTATCTGATAGGTAAAAATTGTTATCACCCCTAAAACTCTCGAGTTTGTGTCAAATATAATTCACTTATTTGAACAGGAATAATGCACATGTCTCTATGTAAATGTGGGAGAAGCACATGGGAAGGTGAGTTTGTCCTTGCTATGAATAGCGCAGGAGTTCAGGGGAGAGTGGCTAAAAGGAAAAGAAGAAAAGCCACAGAGTAAGGAAAACTCACTGAAGAACACCTGACATATTTTTGTTTGTTTAACAATTATTTTCAAGAAAGGAGAAGAAAAAGGGGGAGGAAGCTGGAGCAGGGAGGAGTTTGGGAGAAAAAGAGAAACAAAGGAAAAAAGCATGGGATGCAGATGCTGGAGCAAGGGCAGGGTGTGGAGATGGAGAATAGAGCCCGACCCACACCGGCTGTCAGGAAGGGGAGGAGAGAAAACAACCATTGCCATCATTCCAGCACCCCTCACTTTCACCCCAATTCAGCAACAAAAGTAAAATCTGCTTGCATTACAGTATTCTCCCAAGAGACGAGGGCAAGGAGGTTTTACTCTGTACTTACCCTGCAGTCATCTCTTATGAAGGATTTGTTCACTGTCTATATAATAACTTAGCTTAAAAGAGGTATTTTCCCTCCAGGAAGCTGTTCAGAAGATTTGCTGGCCACAGACGTCTCCTATAACAAACTGGTTCCCCATTTAAGTTCAATAACCAAGAAACTCTTAAAGATAACTGCTTCCCTGGGAAGGTGTCTGGACTTTTCCAACAGAATTATATTTACTATCCATTTCTCAAATCTAACTGGAAAGCCCAATGCATACACTGCAATGGCAACCTTCTAAATCTAGTGACTTCTTAGGATAAAGACTGGAACATGAGAAGGGACATGAGAAGCTAATGTGTCACTCTGTCGTGACAGTGACAGCCAACCTGTCTTAAAATTCTAAATCAGGTTCTGAATGCCATCTTTGCCTTCTCTTACCTGACTTTTTGCCGCTCAACCTTCCAAAGGAGAGACCGAGGAAGGTGGTTATGTGGCAAAGCAAAAGCATTCTGGGAGGATGAAAAAGCCCTTTTCAGGTTTGAAGCGTAACTGTGCCCAAAGAGTTGAACACACATAAAAGACAGGCAACTCTCTCCCTTTACTCAGGTCTAAACATAGGTGCACTGTGGCTTGGGAGTCCTAATGAGTAGCACGAAGAAAAATCCGGAAAAAGCATTAGGGATACATGACAGTCCTCAGAAAACAGGTTTACTTTACAGAGCAGGGAAGTAAAACTCCTGGGACACCTGTGTTGAGGGGAAGTGGACCACTCTTAAAAGGACTATATGCTAAAGCCCATCCTGCTCCTCCATCCAGTTCACTGCTGAATGAACATTTGGAGGGGGCTCCCCAGGCCTTCCTGAAGACATTGGTAGTGTCAACAAAAAACCTCTTCACCAACCTCACTCACATTAATACTCAACTTACTGCAGAGATTTAAGGGCTGTTGAGAAGAAAGGAAAAACTAAAGGGCAAGGCTATTACTCTCAGACATGTCCTTCCAGAGTGTCTTAAGCCACTGGCAAGTTATACTCTTTCTGAGGGAGCACTAGCCCTCACTCAGTGTCCTACACTGACAAATATGGTAGGGTGCCACAGTCCTACTGTTCACTTGTAGGACAGTCACCTCTGTGGGGTGGAATACAGTACAAGTGCACAAGCATAGGCCGGAGGTCAGCCAGACTACAGCTGCCAACCCCCTCATCACCCCAGGACTACAGCTGCCAACCCCTCATCACCCCAGGCCTATAGCTGCCACCCCCTCATCACCCCAGGACTACAGCTGCCAACCCTTTCAACACCCCAGGCCTTTAGCTGGCAATTCCTCTAGACTATAGCTGGCAACCCTCCGTGACCCCAAGCCTATGGCTGGCAATCCCTCCATCACCCCAGGCCTATGGCTGGCAAGCCCTCCATCACACCCAAGTGAGTGTCCACTGAGCTTAAGGGCATACACTATATGGGCATATCCTTGTAGTCTAGCCCATGACAGAAAGGGGTTAAGATAATTGGCTGGCCAATTAATTTCTGTTTGCTGGTCATGCTGCAAGGCTGGGGGGTGGGGAGCTTGTTAGGAATCTGAAATACTAATAATAAAAGTTTCCATCAGTAGTTTCCCCCTGGTTGTAATCATGGTTAGAAATGAAAATCCATGATCAAAAAATTTAAAAATTTCCTAGGACTTTTCTGACTTTAGGCATATCTAGTAATCAAAGATTTCAACTTTTCCTTCTTTCCAATGCTTAACGATTCGCTGTGGTCCTGCAGCTCCTATCCACTCCTTTCTCTGACCCTAAGCCAGCTTGAGAGCACTGCTTTGGGGCATGGACTCCAGCTATCTGTCTTAACCTAGGTAGGTGGTTACATCACCGCCATTTGTCTGCAAAATACAGAAAAGCCAACCAGTAGAGATCCTTGAAGACCTATCAAAGGCCCAACCAAGAAAACCAAAGCTTGGCTTGTTTAATAGCTTTGATGAGAACAGCTGGACTGGGCTGGGGCAGCTACCTGCAGAGGCTATACCAGGCAACCATGTGACAACCAATTAGATATATTAAATCTGCCCAAAAGGCCAGGTGGCCTGTGATCTTGGGATGGCTTCTAGGCTCGACTTGGATTTTCCTCAAGCCCAACCTGCCTAGTGATCTATTCTGAAGGAGGACAGAGCTGAACAAAGAGACTGGCAGTTGTCCATTCACTACATGGGGCTCAAAAGGCATATGGGACTGGACCCAAACACAGAGAATGAGCTAATTAGAGCTCTAGGTGGGTAATGCAAGAAATCTTAGGGGTAGGGGGTTAGGGAACCGGTATAAGAATTTTCCTTCTTTCCATTGGGATCGAATCCCAACATCTTTACAGTCCTCTCTGGGTACTTGCAAACTACCCTGAGGAAATAATCCCAACATTAAAGCTATTTTGTAGGGATGCTCTTACCATCAGGAACCTCATCTGGTCTCTTCCTCTTCTCATACACAACAATGATCACCACAAGGATGATGATTTCAGCCAGAATTCCCAGGAAAGGCCAGAGCGGGGCCAGGTGGCTCCGTACCCTGAGGATGGTGACAACAGATTTGGAGCCAATGGAGTTGGTAGCATTACATTCATACTCGCCAGGATCTTCTGTGATCTGGAGGTTCATAATGTTCAACTCGGTGTAATTTTCCTTATTGATGATGAAGAAGCGGCCAGAAGTATTGACAAGCTCCTACAGAAAAATTGAGAACACAGAGAGGTTAGAGTAGATGAGCTAGTCCCCAAGGGAGGGTGGCACTGCTCTCCATGCTTACCAGGGCACTAGCTGACATGAAGGAGCAGTGTCTGGGCTCAACTTTGTCCAAGGAACTCTGAGCACTTCATTAATTACTTCCCTTTAAAATCAATAACAAATCAACAAATTTCTAGCAGAGCCAGGGTATAATAAGCCTCCCCTGCCACTGGTCCTCTGGAATTCTCTAAGCTTCATTCAGTGAGTAGAGATCCTATTGCATACAGACCCAGAAAAGACCAAAACAATCGAGTGAACATTATTTCAAAAAACTAGGCAAGAAATGGTATCAGGAAGATGATGGAGGGAGCAGGGAGGTGATCCCCATGGTCAGACCTCTATCTGATGACTTCCGAGTCAGCCCATCTACTTTGTGCTTGGTAAATTCTGAGAAGTCTCCTAAAACTTCCTCCATAAGCAATGGTAAGAACTCCCTCCTAGTCAAAGTGGGGAAAATTCATAACTTCCCTTTTCTTTGGGACGACAAGGTTAAAGGAAAGGTTATTCAATCAATCAACAAATGTTGACTAATGTTACATCCCTCTAAAGGGAAGGTGATATGGACAGGGAGAAATATAACATAAAAAGGATTAAGGAGCTTAGCCTCAAGAGGGAACTGACCTCCAAGGGGATGACTGGTTATAGGAATGTGTTAAGAAGCCCCAAAAGAATATGTATGGAGTGTTGGCGGGG